GTAGTGTTTACCGGAGTCCAAACGCATACTGACCTCTGGCATCACTACCACCACCGTGTGGCCCCTGCGGCCCAAATCCTCAGCCACAGCCTTCAGCCCAGTCCAGTGGCTGCCATCCACTGGCACCACCAACAGCCTGCCAGTCCAACCAGTTTCCCTAGTTTCTCCAATCCTCCCATTTCCACCACTTCCTTCAGTCCCTCCAGTTCCATCAGGTTCTACGGCTCTTTCAGTTCCACCTGAGGTCTTTATTTCCCCCAGAGCGGAACACAGCAGCACACTGAGCCCCAAACACACCACGGATCTCCTCATTGTTCCTCAGCTCCTCAGCTGTCTCTCTCTCTCTGGGCGCAGTGGTGCAAGGATTTCAGTCACTGCTGAAGTGTTTGTTCAGTCAAGACTTCACCTCTGATGGTTGTTGGCTGCTTTACAGGAGGAAGGTTAATTAGGGTGAAGTGCACTTCATGTGTTTCAAGACATGTTAAATATGCTGGGTGTAGAGTATTTGATGAAAAGTCAGAGAGATTAACTACAACATAATGTGTGTGTGTATGTATGTATATATATATATATATATATATATATATATATATATATATACATACTGTAAAACCTGATGAGTTGATGAGTTAAGTCAACCTCAAATGGTTTGAGGCAACCGATTGCCTTAAATGGTTAAATAACGTTTAAAGTTAAATAACTCTCTAAACTGAGTATGAACAAAACATCTCTTGTCTCTTGTTATATAAACATATGTAAATTGAGTTAATTGAACTCCATTCATTTAGTTGATTTTAAAATGAGTATTTTGGACTTTTATAGTTGTACTAACTCAATACAACTAAGTAATTGTAAACTGAATTGACTGCCGTTCAACACTCAAACACTGAATCAACTGATGTTTTAGCTACAAAATTTTAGAACACATTGCGCTTGTGCGACATCAGGACTATTTCATGTGCCTGGCGTCCATCACTTTTAACACTTTTAACACTTTTTTTCACTTTTAGCTAATTCTGAATAGACTATACCCAGGACTAGTACATGGAGTAAACAGTCAATCATCATAAATGTGCATATATAGTCAGAAAAGGGAAAACAACACTAAATTATTAAGTCTTTAAAAACAACATATTATTAGACTGTTTGCATTTATTGTCAACTTAAATAAAAATAGTGAACATAACACATTTAAATTAAGTTATCTTAACTCACAAATATGCTAAAAAAAACGATCTTACTTAAAATGACTGAGTTACCATCTCAACAATTCACTTTTGAGTTAGTTTGAATTTTTCAGATTAAGTTACTCCAACTTTCTGTAGTATTTAAGTTGTGTTAACTTAATTCTTTCTTTAAGATGTGCAGTTTTACAGTGTATATATATATATATATATATATAATATATATATATATATATATATATACACACACACTGTAAAACCCAACTACATATATATATACACAAATGCCGCAACATAGAACTTCTACTAAAGTGGTCTAAAGAGCTGAGGGGCCGTCACGCCTACCTTGTTTGGTCTGAACCAAAACAGCAGGTGTGAAAGAGCCTCGACCACGTTCAGCTGTTCAGCTCAGTTCTTCCTCAAACTCGCGGTCCGCTGACCGAAAACAACGCCAAACAGCGCTGGAACTACGGAAAGAAAGGGTTCAAAAAAGGCGGAACGGCCGCGGGTTTTCACCCAATCAGCGACGAGCAGAGCATGCAGTATTTATCAGTAGGATTGTTTACGTTTACTCGAATTAAAAATAATATAAAAACAAAACAAAATAAATAAATAAAAAAGTAACACAATAGCTTTATTACTGTAATTAAAACGATTACGTTTAAAATCATAAAATGATTGCTTTATTGATCAACTCAGACACATTATTACTGGATCTGTTGTTATTGATCCAGTTTTTAGGGTAAATATCCCCCTCAGATTAAATGTGCTCTGCAGATGTTGTGAAACACATTCTGAGAGACACTCAGTAATGGACACTGTACATAAGGATGAAATATAGTTATAATAAGTTATGATGTAACTTATAGATTTGGATCAGGCGTTTATTAAACACTGACTGTAAAGTCTTAGAATAATAACTGTAATTGAACATTATTAAAGCAGGCATTTAATGTGCATGAATGACATTCATAATGGAGCATCTCTAAACAGAGTTAATATTTATAAACTATGATTTTACTCAAATGCTCCATCTTAACCCATTCATTTCGACTCACTCGGGAGCGCCCTCTAGAGTTAGAGAAACCCCAAGACATTACAGTGATAATTCTCCTCTCTACAAGTTCTCTGGAATTACACTGGTTATATGGAGCAATTGAGCAAAATCATAGTTCATAAATATTTAAACTTTTAATGTAAAAGAATTCATTCATTTCCTGAACACAGAGCAGCATAAAACACTTTAACACTGCTGCTTTATTTTTAAGAGCTTTTAAACTCGAGTTATAGAAGGTTAAAATGGTGCCTCATGTATGTTCATGACGTCATTGAGCGCAAACCGCCAATAAGCCTCTGTGCTCGCCAACCAATCAGTGCTCAGTAGCAGTAATGCCGACCAATCAGCGCTCAGTAGCAGTAATGCCGACCAATCAGCGCTCAGCAGCAGTAATGCCGACCAATCAGTGCTCAGCAGCAGTAATGCCGACCAATCAGCTCTCAGTAGCAGTAATGCCGACCAATCAGCGCTCAGTAGCAGTAATGCCGGCCAATCAGCGCTCTGTAGCAGTAATGCCGACCAATCAGCTCTCAGTAGCAGTAGTGCTGACCAGTCAGCTCTCAGTAGCAGTAGTGCTGACCAATCAGTGCTCAATAGCAGTAGTGCTGACCAATCAGCTCTCAGTAGCAGTAGTGCTGACCAATCAGCGCTCAATAGCAGTAGTGCTGACCAATCAGCTCTCAGTAGCAGTAATTCTGACCAATCAGCGCTCAGTAGCAGTAGTGCTGACCAATCAGCACTCAATAGCAGTAATGCCAACCAATCAGCTCTCAGTAGCAGTAATGCCGACCAATCAGCGCTCAGTAGCAGTAATGCCGGCCAATCAGCGCTCTGTAGCAGTAATGCCGACCAGTCAGCTCTCAGTAGCAGTAGTGCTGACCAATCAGTGCTCAATAGCAGTAGTGCTGACCAATCAGCTCTCAGTAGCAGTAGTGCTGACCAATCAGCGCTCAATAGCAGTAGTGCTGACCAATCAGCTCTCAGTAGCAGTAATTCTGACCAATCAGCGCTCAGTAGCAGTAGTGCTGACCAATCAGCACTCAATAGCAGTAGTGCCGACCAATCAGCGCTCAGAGTAGCCGTAGTGCTGACCAGTGAGCTCTAACCGGTGTACTCCTCCTTTAATAACTCAGAGGTGCAGAGTTTAAATTCAGTTCTGTTTCTCTGATTTTACAGAAACTGCACAATAATAAACAGCGTAAACATTCATTTAGAGCAACACTGTAATCACAGTCAGAATCTGCTCAACACTGACCGACTCTCGGGCGTTTGGGGTAAAGTGGACAGCTGTGAGGGTATTTTATGAGATTCTGCGTCACTGATACATTAATATCTGAGCTTTACACATGGACACGAGTTATTAGACGGCTGCAGCTTCATAAAGCGCAGCTGTCCCACTTTATTCAACGTCCTCTCGTTTGTTTTGATCTATTTATTCTGCCAGTTCCTGTTTAAACAGGACATTGAATACAGATTCTACCTGGAAAAGGAAGTGGAGGTGGAGAAGAAAGACTGGAGGAAGGTTTGTCTGGAAGCTTGATATCAGCCCAAAAAGAATGGAATTTCTCCTTTTTCTCTCTCATTTTTTCATCATGTTTTTGGAATACATGGATTATCTTGGAGCTTCAGAAGAAGATCTCACTTTTTCTTGGATGAAGAGAAGCAGCTGGGCGAGATCAGCGTTTTTCTTAAACTGCTTTGTTTGGCCGTTTTTAGCAGTGATGGGTAAATGAATCTTTCTGAAGCAGCGAAGCTTTAATCTTTTAAAACCCTTTTACATCAATGACACCTTGTGGACAAAAGGGTGAACAGCAGCTATAAATACATCCCCTTTATTTAACTGTGTTTGAACGCGTTTGTTTCGAAAGCTGTGAAGGTGATTAGTAACGTACACACAGCACAGTACAGATCGCCTAGTGTGAGAACACCCTTGAACTCTTTATGGACTTGTTTTGAAAGATGGACTCTGCTATTGTAAGACTTTATGACTTTAAACAAACTGATAGTTTGCTTTCTGTGTGAGTAAAACACTATTTGGTTAATTAAAAATCAAACTTGATGCAAAAGGTTATTGCCTTTACTGCCTTGCTAGCAAAATGGGCTATTGTCCTTAAGTGTGCCTCCTCTCCAAAACAGGATAGGTGGATCTGGGAAATTTTAGCTAGTATTAAGTTTGAAAAGCTGATACGAGATCAGATCCTGGGAGCCTGTTCTGGAATTCATTAATGACTACAGTGTTTTGCTTGAATAGGACAGTGAAACCTGATGGGCTATCTGGTTTAGTGACATAGTTTACACTGATTGTATGTATGTATGTATGTATGTATTTATTTATTTATAGTCACTGCCACATGTTTGTAGGGTTAGTACATTGTGGGTGGACGGTGGGGGGGTAGCTGGGTAGTTTGTGAAAAACGTTTTTTGGTGAAAATCAGTAAAGAAAATTAAAATATAAGGATCAAATTCGAGGCAGTCCACTGGTTTCTTTATTTAATGTTATATTGTATAAACATGTTTATTAAACATGATCAGATGAATTGCAATGATTTGCAGTGTCCAAATTCTTTAGTAACTATTGAGAACATTATATCTGCAGAGATTACGACGTGTTCTAAAACAGCCTGGTGTTAAAATCTTCACAGAATCTCCAAATAAAATATGGACTTTGAGTGCAGAGATTAAATATACGAGACATAAACGAGCTTTATTAATTTGAAGTAAAGGTTCCGACTGACTGGGTGTTTGTCTGCAGGACTCACCGGGCTGAGGGGTCTCATGATGGCACAGTTCAGTCCACCAATCAGCACCATGTTGGGCATGAGCGGTTTGGGGAACTCCAAAGTGAAGTCGTACCTCAGCAGCCACAGCGCTCCGGAATTCAGGATCTCCACCAAGCTGACGGACCTGTGCATCAGGCGTGACGCCAGATCCTCAAATAACCAGTACAACACCTTACACAGCACTGGCTCCACCATGTTCACCAACACGTTCAGCACCCGCTCGCTCCAGCACATGTGGTCAGAGTTCTTGGTGAAGAAGCGCGGGACGTAGGAGGGAGGGTCAGGGCAGGCCGTGGCTGTGGCGTCCATTCCGCAGGGTAAACCCCGGAGCATGTAGACTGCAGGCAGAGACAGATTGTAGGCCAGAATGGCTCCAGTTGGCACGGCTGGACTGGTTAGCACAGCATCGAATTTCTGCTCCCTCAGAAAGTCCATCAGGTCCTGGTTGAACAGCAGTGCCTCACTGGTGTCCCGCTGGTAGGCTACAAACTTTTTTAGGTTGCTGATTCGAGTGCTGATTCTCTCCAGTAGGGGCAGTGGTGTGCTCTGCATGACCTCAACATTACGGGTCTGCAGCTCCTCAAGTGCTTTTCGTCCATACGGTACAGGGAACGTTTTGGTAATGTAGTGTTTACCAGAGTCCAAACGAATACTGATCTCTGGCATCACTACCACCACCGTGTGGCCCCTGCGGCCCAGGTCCTCTGCCACGGCCTTCAGCCCAGTCCAGTGACTACCATCCATCGGCACCACCAACAGCCTGCCAGTCAAACCAGTTCCTCCAGTTCCCCCAGCTTCTCCAGCTCCCTCAGCTCCGCCAATTTGTCCAGCTCCTCCAGTTCTTCCAGCGCCCCCAGTGTCTTCAGTCCCGTCAGTTCTAGTTCCTTTAGTGCCCCCAGCTCCCCAAGGTTCCATAGGCCCCTCTGTTTGACTAGTTCCCTCAGTCCAACTAGCTCCAATCTGGTCCCCCAGAGCAGACCACAGGAACATCCCAAGTCCCAAAAATACTGCATACTTCCAGGTCATTTTTCCAAGATTGTTGCTCACTACACAAATTATGTCTCTCTGTTCAAATTATGTCTCTCTGTTTCTCACTGAGTGTCCGGACTTCAGTCAAGGGTCAGGAAGTTGTTAGGGCTGATGATTTTTTTCCGGCAGTGGAAACGTGAGTGACCAAAGTGCACAGACTGACCTAGTCGGGGGAGGAGGGGGAACAGGGGGAGGAGAAAGAGTGTGTGTGTGTGTGAGAGAGAGAGAGAGAGAGAGAGAGAGAGAGAGAGCAGAGAGAGAGAGAGAGAGACAGAGCAAGAGAGAGACACACAGACAGAGAGAGAGAGAGCAAGAGAGAGACACACACAGACAGAGAGAGAGAGACAGACGTAGGAGGGAGGGTCAGGGCAGGCCGTGGCTGTGGTGTCCATTCTGCAGGGTAGACCCCGGAGCATGTAGACTGCAGGCAGAGATAGATTGTTGGCCAGAATGGCTCCAGTTGGCACAGATTAATTTAGGCGTGATAGTGCGATGTACATGTCTTTACTTTCATGTTTTTATGCTTTAGTTCCAGCTATTTTCAACAGCCATCGATTGCTTCGCATCTAAAAAAATAATATTTACAGATTAATTTAGGCATGAGAGTGCAATGTAAATGTCTTGGCTTTCATGTGCTTCTGTGTGACGCACAGACGCACAGACTGCTGACCCACTGCTCCAGCGCTATCTTTCTGCTAAGTTCCTAAATCAACCAGAAACGGTAAGTTCCTGCAATACCATGGCTACTGCTGGTTTCTTGTGTGGCATGTTTAGTTTAATCCCCTTTTCCACCTCTAGCGATAATGATAGTGGCTGTGTTTGTGCTAAGTGCCAGCTAGTTAGCTCCCTGGTGGAAAAGGTGGACCAGCTAGAGGTGCGCATCCGGGATTTATTAAGGGACAGACAGTGAGATTCACCGCTAGCAGCCCTGGGTGCCTTAGGGAGAGTCAGCACCCCCTCGACTCCGGTGTTAGAGCCCTCACAGCGGGGTGAATGGGTGACGTCTCGGCGACATAGCCGGAAAGCTAAGGCTAATGCTAACGCTGAGGCCAAAGCTAGCCCACCAGAACACCACGTTCCTCCAATTCACATGTCAAACAGGTTTGCCCACTCGGCGAAACACCCGCTGAGGAGCCTGTTAAAAGTGCTCTGGTTATAGGAGACTTGATCGTTCGACACGTGAAATTAGCTACTCCTTTAGGGGCACCAGCAGTAACAGTTAGCTGTTTACCGGGAGCCAGAGCGCCGGACATTAGCGGCAACCTTAGACTGTTAGCTAATAAGAGATATTCGAGAATAGTCATCCGTGTAGGGGCCAATGATATTCGTCTGCGGCAGTCTGAGGTAACTAAGGGTAACATTAGAGAGGTGATTAAACTGGCCCAGACGATGTCCGATGCCGTAATCTGCTCTGGTCCCATCCCAATGCGGCACGGCGCTGAAGCCTACAGCAGACTCTCAGCGTTAAACTGCTGGATGTCCAAGTGGTGTTCGGAAAATAAAGTGGGCTTTATAGATAATTGGTTACATTTCGAGGGCAAGCCTGGTCTTATAGGTAGGGATGGTGTCCACCCCACGCGGGAGGGTGCTGCCTTACTTTCTTGCAGCATAGCACATAGCCTTTTAGTTAGTCAGCAGAGTAGTGTAAACACCTGCTGACAATCCAGAGCCGGGACCAGGCCGCAGACAGACAGGCTAAACCAACCGTCTGCGAACCGCCTTGAGGCGTCACCTAGGATCCACTATATTGAGACTGTGTCTTTGCCCCGAATTAAATCAAAATCTAAATATAGAAAAACTCAATCAGCCCGTTTCAATAACCTAATCAATATTAAATCATATTTAGATGATAGCAGCAACACCTCAGTTCTAAAATTTGGGTTATTCAATATAAGATCACTAAACTCAAAAGCAGTCATCGTAAATGAAATAATAAGTGATCATAAATTTGACGTTTTCTGTCTCACTGAAACATGGGTTAGACAGGATGAATATTCAGCACTAAATGAAGCCACCCCTATGGGCTATTATTATGTACACAGCCCACGATTATCAGGCAAAGGAGGTGGATTATGTGTAATCTACCAGAATAGCCTAGATATCAGTCAGAAACAATGTGACACTTTCACTTCTTTTGAGGTTCTTTCCATCAATATTACAAATCCGGCCACAAAAAAAGAAGGCATTTTCATTATTTAACATTTACAGACCACCAGGACCCTACACAGAATTTTTGAAAGAATTTAGTGATTTCGCTGCAAACCTAGCTGTGTGCAATGATAAAGTAATAATTGTAGGAGATTTTAATATCCATTTTGAGAAGGCAGATGACCCACTAAAAAAGGCGTTTACTTCAATCCTAGACTCTGTTGGTATTACCCAAAATGTAACAGGGCCTACGCACTACTGTAGTCACACTTTAGATCTAGTTCTGACACTTGGACTTGACATAGACAGGCTTAGTATCCTACCGCAAACCTCAGTAATCTCTGACCATTACTTAATTTCTTATGAGCTACGTCTTAGCCATAATACATGTACGTCCCCTCGCTATTCTACAAAGCGCTCAATAAAACCATTTACCGCTCTGCAATTCATAGAAAACCTCCCAGAACTAACAACCCTAGTCTCCACTCCATCAGACCCAGTGGAGCTAGATGTACTAACCGACTATTTAGAAAACACATTTCGATCTACTTTAGAAAATGTGGCGTCACTTAAAATCAAAAGGATAAGACAGAAAAAGCTCGCCCTGTGGTACGATGATAAAACCCATACCTTAAAACAAACAGTACGGAAACTAGAGTGGAAATGGCGATCAACCAAGCTGGAAGTGTTCCACTTGGCCTGGAAGGACAGCCTTATAGAGTATAGAAATGCTCTCAATATGGCTCGCTCAGCATATCTGGCCTCGCTGATCGAGAATAATGAATATAATCCTAGAGTACTGTTTAGTGTGATTTCCAGAATTACAAAAAAATCAGGCAGGCACTGAACCACAGATTCCGGGACCCTCACCAGTGATGTTTTTATGGACTTTTTTAATAATAAAATTGAAAATATTAGACAACAAATTCAACCCACAGTATTAAATCCAACTTGGCTGTCATCTGATGTGGCTGATATAAAACATAACGTAGTTGCAGAGGAAAGGCTGGAAACTTTCTACCCACTACCACAGTTAGAACTAGAGAAGATTATCTACTCTGCAAATTGTACAACCTGCACACTTGATGCAATCCCCTCAAAATTACTCAAAGAAGTACTACCAGTTATCATTAATCCTCTTTTAACCATAGTTAACTCGTCCCTTAGCCTGGGCCATGTACCCAGAGCTTTTAAACTAGCAGTTATTAAGCCTCTGATCAAGAAACCAAACCTTGATGCTGCGTATTGTCTAATTACAGGCCTATTTCTAACCTACTATTCATATCTAAGATCTTAGAAAAAGCTGTAGCCTCACAACTTAGTTCATATCTACATAAGAACCACATATATGAAAAATTCCAATCTGGATTCAGGCCACATCACAGCACTGAGACAGCTCTAGTTAAGATAACAAATGATCTTCTTCTTGCCTCTGATCACTTGACCTCAGCACAGCTTTCGATACGATAGACCACAATATTCTCCTAGAAAGGTTAGAAAACATGGTTGGAATCACAGGGACCGCCCTATCGTGGTTCAAACCTTACTTAACGGAACGTTATCAGTTTGTAAAGGTAAATGATTCATCTTCCAATTATTCACAAGTAAGATTTGGAATTCCGCAAGGCTCTATTTTAGGACCATTATTATTTACATTATGCATGTTACCGTTAGGCACAGTTATAAGTAGCCATGGCATTAACTTTCACTGTTACGCAGACGATACGCAATTATACATATCAGCCAAGCCTGATGACAAATACAGGCTAAAGAAAATAGAGATCTGTGTAAAAGATGTGAAAGGCTGGATGTTACGTAACTTCCTCCTTCTAAACAGTAACAAAACAGAGGTTCTCCTTCTGGGTCCAAAAGTGGCAAGAAATAAATTACCAGATTTAATTTAAAATCTTGCTGACTTTCCAGTTATACCTGGTTCAGCAGCAAAAAATCTTGGCATCATAATTGATCCAGATTTATCATTTGATCAACACATAGGCAGCATCACTAGGACAGCTTTTTACATCTTCGCAACATCGCCAAAATAAGAAATGCCTTATCACTGCACGATGCAGAAACATTAGTACATGCCTTTATTACCTCAAGGCTAGATTACTGTAACGCATTACTGTCAGGATGCACCAGCAGGAATTTAAGTAAACTTCAACTAGTTCAAAATGCTGCAGCCAGGGTTCTCACTAAAACCAGAACATTTGATCATATCAGTCCAGTTCTATCATCACTCCATTGGCTGCCTGTTAAATTCCGTATCGATTACAAAATTCTTTTATTGACGTATAAAGCCCTACATGGGCTCCTGAGTACCTGCAAGACCTTATTTCCCATTATGAGCCACCACGATTACTCAGATCACAGAGTGCTGGCTTTTTAATAGTTCCCAGAATTCAGAAGGCTTCATCTGGGGGAAGAGCCTTTTCTTATAAAGCCCCCAAACTCTGGAATGATCTTCCAGAAAATGTTCGGGACTCAGACTCAGTCGCAATCTTCAAATCTAGGCTGAAAACTCACTTGTTTAGTTTAGCTTTTGGTAGTTAATGTTCCCCCTTAGATAAAGGCAGCAGATCCAGGGGTCCATGGACACAGGGAATTATAGTAAACTGAGACACTGGTGCTGTCGTCCCGCCGCTCGCACGCCATCACTCAGGTTTGTGGACGGTGGAGCGGAGGGATGCCAAATTGTTTCAGGGTGCTCCCGTGTCTGTGTGCCCTTTTGGTTCTCTCCTTTTAGTTAAGCTGTTATAGTCAGATCTGCCGGAGTCGTTAGCCACACTCTGGAAATGTTCACATTCTCTGTTTTAAATACACTCAAACAGAACAAAACTAATTCCATCTCCCTACCTTTTTCCGAGTAAACGACTGCCCACCTGCCGGACGGACACTGATGGATGATTGTCTGCGGAGCTCTCCTGCTATCCGCTTCAGACCAGTTGCCCACGCCCCAGTCGCCGCCACTTGACTTGGACTAGCTG